CACGTTTTCTTTTCTGCAATACAGACTTAAAACGTTAGGCATGCGCTAAACAAGTTCACAGCTAGCAGACGTGCACCAAGCAAATATGAAGTGACGTAAGCTTACCACTTCCACCTTCTTTTTTTCCACGGCTACTGCTTTTCGTGCAGGTTGTATGACTTCTTCTGAATCACTTGATGATCCTGAGCTAGAGTCATCGCTCAGTTGCTTCAGTTTTCGCCTTGCAGGTTTCGTTGCTGATGATGTTGTCAAGGATGATACAGATGAAGACGTCATAGACGCTCGCTGTTCTCGGGCACGTTCTTTCTTACGATTTTTCTCCATCTTAATTCCAACGATCAGAATTATGAAGCACGCAAACCTTACAATTTTAATTCACTTGGAATAAATCTAAATTTAGAGAAAAAGCAGCAATTTCATGAGGAGAACAACCTTTTTTTTCTCCTTCTTGCTGTTTCGCTCAATGATAGCCTCTTCGGTGGGACGGCGTGAACTAGACGATACACGACGAACAGTGTTCGCCCATGATCCCTCGCACAAATCATCAAGAAGGCGAGCAATCTGGAAAAAAATATATTCAAAAAAGAAAGGATGGGTTATAAGTAAGAATACTCTCACCTCATTTGTTTTCGTTCTTGGGCGCGATTGGTTAGAAACTGCAGCTCGGACTTCTTTCGTAGGTTTCTTTTTCGGCTCTTTAACCTCCTCTTTTTCTCGTTCAGCTTCACGTTGTTCCTTTTCTTTCTCATAATCGCGATCTTTTTCGGTATCTCGTGTTGCAGTACTTTCACGATCTGGTGAATAATCACGTGGACGAGGAGAAGGCGTACTATCCCACGGTGCAGGAGCTGGTGCACGTGGAGGTTGAGGAGATTCCACGAAACTACGTTCCGAACGCACATCCTCTGCAATTTCAAATTGTCTGAAAGTGAAAATAAGGATGGACCACATGTACCCACTTACCTTCCTTCCTTAACGGTGACGCTACTGATCGTGCTGTTTGCGAAACAGGTGGGGCAGTCGAAACTGGAGTAGCAGCACTCGTCTTCGGCGGACTCGGAACCGAACTATCACATTCCATTGGTGGTGAAGCCACAGGAACTTTCACCGTTGGAGTAGGATTAACAGCCTAGATGGATTATACATCAGCTCGTGATTAGATGTAAATTTTGTGTATTCAGTAAGTTCTACGAACTTGATTTGTTGCGGATGTGGATGCCGAAACTGGCTCCGATACACCAGGTGACAGCTTAAACAACTGAAGGTAACATCTATTGATCAACAAAAATATTTAATAATCTACCTCTGCTTCTTTCCCTTGCACGATGTGCGCCGTTGTGCTAGTTTTATCATCTTGCATTAAATTTTGTTGTGTTTGCTGAAAACTGAGACTGTCAGAAACTAGCAGATTAAGTCAAAGTTGGGATGCGTTACACATTCTACTTCTATAAGAATCGTAAAGGCCTTCGAATGAGCTTTGGCTCAAAACAGCAAAACAGTATAAAACAAAACAGTTAAAGTGAACACTGCCGATAATTAGTACAACCCACCCAGAATGTGTGAAGGGATACTTTTATGAGGATAAAGCTGTTATGGTAATCACTGCCACAGCTACAGTCTCATCAAAGGCTTTATAACCAAAAATCAACACCGTGAAAGTATAGGGAGGCAAAAACGGAACTCGCCACGCAATGATGGCTCGTGACAGAAAATAGCGTTTAACTTCTGGTGGGCGGTATTATAAAGGAAGCGTCAGAAATGTCACCTATTAGAGCCGCAGCGCCTCCATTACTCACTATGAAGCGGCGAAAGAGGGTGAATCTCAGAGAATGGACCAAAGTACGTGAACTGTGATGGGCGCCTACGAATAGGTTGGACGCGGAGGCTGTGTTTACCGATTTACTCAGTTTGCTGTAGTTTGCCTCCCTATACTTTCACAGTGTTGATTTTGGTTATAAAGCCTTT